CTCCAAGTATGCTAGCCCGTATTTGATTAGTTTTGTCTCAACTGTGGTGGATGCATTCCTTGTCCTTCTCCCTTTGTTACCTTGTATGTTTGGGCATCACATACAGCTGTATTTACCTTTCTTAGACTCTTTTAAACTCTGGAGTCTTTTTCAGATCCTTTGTCTTTTGTTCAACTTTCTTAGTCTTCATTTTTCCCTCCTTCATCTTATGTTATTTTTCTCCATTCACCTTCTTTCCATGCTAATCCACCATTTCTCTGAGGGGTTTTCTGTGGATACTCATTCACTTATCTTCCTCAGACTTATCACTTCATATTTGGTTGACCTGTTGCTAGGATTTGTTGGAGCTAATTGCTTTTTTTACTCAAGTGCATTTGCCTCCACTTTATCTCTGATACATATCTTCATTTGACTCCTTTCTTTTGCCAGTGTGATTTTATTGGAGTGCCTGTTTCTCTGGAGTCACATGTTGGGTTCATATGCCAATGTTATTCCTTATCCTCACTGGATTCTTGTCTTTCCCTTGCTCCTTCTTTACCTCATTCTGTCTCCCATCCTCCTGCTTTCTCTCCTCTCCCTGTCTCTACTTCCCATTCTTCTGTCTTTATCCATCATTCCACTGCTTATAGACTTTGGTAATGTCAGTTTTGGTGGACTGTCCTATAGGCTCAGGGTCAGTAGGGCAAGTTTATTTTGATTTGTGGACCTTTGTCCTCCATTTGTGGCTTATTGTTGGTTACACTGTAATCTGGCAGAACGTCTTACCCCTTCTTTCTTTCATCTTCTCCTCCACTGTTTCCTGTACCTATTACTTTTCCTGTACTGAGGGATTTTATTTCTTAGAATCTGCCAATGGCAGTATTGTACCTAATGGCTAAAGACTATCAAATGGGTTTATAATCTGTTTCCAGGATTCAATTCCCATCTTTTCATTGTTCCCAAGGAATCAGGGGATTGGCATCCAGTCATAGATATTTCCAGTCTTAGTCGGTTTCTCAACCTCCCTCGATTTACCAGGGAGACTTTTCTCACCCTACTGTGGTTACTTGCTCCAGATCTTTGGATGACTGAGGTAGATGTGTCAAATGCTTAGTTTCACAGTTGACTCCATTCCAACAATCCTCCTTCAGCCATTCTTTTCTCCTCCACTGGGAGGCAGTGCATCTGGGTTGGTTGGTCCACCTAGAAAAGTTGCATTTCACACCCAGTTCAGTATCTTCTTCATTTGGGTATGTTTCAACTTGCATTTCCATAATGCCCTGCCTTGTCCTCTTCATTTGAGAGATGTGGAACATTTAGTTTTCTATGCTATATCCTCTCCTCCTTTCATTGTGTAGGAGTTTCTCTCTATTTTGGGGACTTGAGCTTTCATTATCCCCTTGAGTCATGCTTATTTGTGTTGTCTACAATGCACTCTGCATGATGACTGGAACCTTGCTCAGGATCCCTTTTCCACCACCATTCTTTTTTGTTACTCACAGACTTCACCTGGTGGCTCAACAAAACCAATACCATAGAGGAAGCTCCTCTTTGGCAGTATTTTGAGCAAGGATAATTTTCTTATGATTGTTTGTGGACAGTTAGTTCTGATCCTTACAGACAACTCTACACTTGTTTCCTATATCAATTACCAAGAGGTTGCTAAGTCTCTTTCTTTCTGTTTCCACACACACTATTTTCTTTTCTGGGTCCATTCTCTACCACTATGACTTATGTGGTGTCCTATCCTATTCTGGATACTCATAATTTCGTTACTGATCACTTCTCAAGATCCGACAAGCTATTACCATAAAAAGTGATGTCTCGATTCTCTGGTGTTCAAGAGGCTGTGCTCTCAACTGAGCACTATCATAGATGCATCTGCCACTCATCTGCACACCAGATTTCTACTTTTTCTGGTCCACAGTTCCTCATCAATCAGTTCTAGCTGTGGATGCATTCAGTTAGGACTGACCCAACTACTTTCTCCATGACTACCCTCCTATTTGTCTTCTCCCTCGTGTTATTTACCTCATGCACTCTTTGTCAATTCCTCCTGCTAGCTCTATATTGGCTGCTTCAACCATGGTTCCTTCTATTGAAACTTCTCCAATCCTCTACCTCTATCACGATCCATACTCCTTCAACCTCATTCCTACCTTTCACATCTGACAGTATCGTCATTCTGACTTCACATGTAGGTTTTCACTTGACTGAATTTACATAAATGTATATATCATAATTTCTGGAGTTATAAAAAAAATCCCTATCTTCTAATAATACACAGCACAGTAACTCTCACAGGTTTTACCGTAATTGAATGATGTCTGAATGTAGGTGATGTTACCACTTTACTGTAAACTTGTATGCAAGCAACACACATTTCTATTGCTGGCTTTATGCTTTAGCCCTTTTACATTTAGGTTCAGGCCATATGGGTTTTTAATTTGAGATATAATGCTAGAGTATAGGCCTAGATCTAATGTTTATCAATTTTATATATTACACCAGTCATTACTGGGTGGAAATATATATCTGGAGAATCATTAAACAAGTGTTTGCTGTAGACTCAAATGTTATTTCTCTTGGTACAGATAGTGATTCTGAGTATGATGCAGGCTTTGATCATCAGGAAGAAATATTTTTGAATGACTGGCTAGAAATTAAAAAATTACCGGGAACATTTTGACTAGTGTATTTACATGGATATTTTCAAGTTAAATGTTTATTCATAATAAATTCATAATTACTAAA